TAAAAATAATAAATATATATAAATGTATAATATTATGAGATTTAAGCTATTTAGTCTAAAATAAAAATGTTTTTGTGTTATAATTTGTAGTCATTCTAGAACGAAATAGGCATAATTTATAATTATTTCCTAATTTTTTTAATGTGGTTACGAGATCGGTCAAATCTACTGAACCCATACAGAGATTCGTTAGTGAAAATAAGATAAGAGATAAAATATAAAGTTTTTTATTAAGATACGTTTGATAACTATCTGGATATTGCATGTGAAATTTGAAAATTTTCTGATGCACAAAGTATTTTTCATCTTATGTTGCATGTTGGATTGGAAATTGTACGAAAAGAAAAAAAAAAGGCATGAGAAAAACATTGCTTTACAAACCTCAAGACTTTATAAAAAAAAATTGATATTTTAAATATAAAAGCATTGTAATGGTTTCTGATAATGTGATAAATTTTGTTAACATAGACTTACTAATTTAAAAGTTATAGTATGAAAATTATAACAAGCACAAAATTGTTATGAGGTCAGTCCCAGGGAATGAGCCCGTGCTGAAAGAGTTAGATGTTATATGCCATGGAAGCCTTTGTATATATTTACCACAGTTTCCATGGATCAAGGAAACCAAAAAAAAGTTGGAGAATTGTAGTTTTTTGCATTGTTTACCAGAGAATTTCAGTGAATTTCATGTGATTTAGTGATGCTTTTAGGACATTGATGACAAAACAGATAATTTATCATTAGTGCCAAAAAAATTGCATACATGTTAATTATGGTACATTTAGCACTTAAATATGCATATTTTATGCATAATAGTTGTTTTATCTACATTGATCTTTTTTGCTTACTGTTAATTGTCATGGAGTATTAAAGCAGCTATAATAGATTATGTAAACAGTATCTAGGTTCTTGTTTAAAGCGAGTGTAAGGGCTCTGAAAAAACTTTGTCTAGTCTTCTCAAACCTAAGTCACGCAAGATTGATTTATTACAACATAAAAGCCCATAACAAGTTACTGTTTAGAGATAGGCTGTTTTCAATAAATATGTTATTTTCATTTTACAAGTTTTAGTGCATTAATAAAAACAGTCCTCACATCAGTAGTTATAGAGGAAATCCTGGGTATATTATGTCATTGACATATCTGTATAAAAAAGATTTGAAAGATATCAAAATGAAAAGAAACAGTTTGATTATTTCAGTAAAGTCTAGAAGTTCAAAGATAGAGCAAATCTATACACTTTTGGGAAAATTTTTGATTCATACCTGTATTTGTATTTATCCAATTAATCATCACAACTAAGTATATTGATTATATAAAATAATAATTTATCAGTAATTTTATTTTAATTCCTTATAAAGCAAAATGTACATAACTAGGCATTGCCTATAGCACATAATGCATAGTACAGCTTGGGCTGGGATCATTATTAGCTGATTATGTCCAAGAAATAAGTAGAATATCCTGACAGTTAATAAAAGCCCATATAAAGTAGAATATGGATGGAAATGTATATAATATCAGTAATATGAAGATAACATGAAGTTTTAAAAAGAAATCATATTAAAAGAATTTTGAAAAACAAAATGTTTCATTCACAGTAACTAATGTGGCACCTTTAAGAGTTTCCGAGAATACGACTTCATTTATTATCCATGAATATTTGTAGAAATGGTTAAACTTGGACCAGTGAATGAAATGGACCAGACTGTGTTATTTTGCTCATTGAATAAAGAATTTTGTTGGGGGAGTATTATGGCAGCTTTAATATATTACATAAATAGTAGTTGGGTGCTACTTTAATGGAGTCTAAGGGCTGTGGGGAAAAAAAAAACTGTGTCTAGTTTCCAAAAACTAGGTGATGGAGAATCATTTTACTACAGCTTAAAAGCTCTTAACATATTACTATTTAGATGAAGGCTGTTTGTTTTGGTGCTTGCAGTATACAGTACCATTCATGTCTGTGTCACTTATTGTAGCCTCTATAAGTAGGATTTAGCATTGTGATGACATAGGAATGATATCACTATAAATGTTTTAATGGTAGGTCTGATTCCATGTATGAAGTATCCTGTGTGTGTAATTAGAATTTATAACTTAGTTATTTCTAAGTATAATCTGACAATCTCATGAATGAATACAACTTGCATAAACCTGAAAAATATTTTTGGTAATGAGATTAGTTAATAAATATATGGCCACGTTGATTGAAATATTTCAATATATTTTTATATAGAGGAACTTGATGCACACAGTTTCAAAGCATGTGCAAGAATAATACAGTATTTGGATGATTTTATTATTATGTGCACAGGAATTATGAGTTTACTGCAGTGTATGGTTAGCAGCTGAATTTTTTTGATATTTTTTATTCATGTACACACATTAGAAATATTGTTTAATAAATATTTGATCTGTGAAAAGCATAATTTAAGAATATTCCATTTTACAACAATGAATGTGTTCCTTATGTTATTAAAAGTCTAAATGGAATATTCACAATTATCAAAATATGTAATGTTGTTTATACTATAATAGCATTTTTGTGATTTATATTAAAAGTAAAAAATTTTCATCAGAATGTGATATTATAAACATATGGATAAACTGCCTTTGTTGTGTATCCTCTGATAAAATATCAATAATTTCAAACCAGCATGACTCATTATATTGAAACTTTACAAAATGACAATTAAACAAACTGTGACTCTTAATGTACAGCCTGTCTTGCTTTGTCTTTATTAAACCATATACATTTGTATTTTTTTGCAATTTCACATTTTATTCTAGTTAATAGTTCAATGATACATTACAAGCATAGATCAAATGGGGGAAGGAATAACATTTTAGACATAAAATTAAACCTATGAGAGTACTGTTGTATCTTAATAAGCTAGGATTCCTTTTTTAATTCTGCATAGAATATTTTTTTTCCCATACAAAAGAGAATGTATTTTCTTAATTATAATAGCATTATTACTTAATCATGGAAGATCTCCCTCCCTCTCCAGAGTTACACTAACAACCACCAACTGTGTACATAAATAACATAATGGTTGCATATGTTATAATTTGCTGGATATAAGTGCTTAGCATGTGTAATTTATTGATTGATATGAATAATTTGTGTAATCTGTATTTCATTTTAGTTGTATTACTAGTTTTAACTAAAATGTTTTGTTTGTTTTTATTTAGAAGACTTCATGATAGTTTACCTATTCCATCATTGAAAATGATTCACAGTACTAGTTAGGGTCATATTAGCAGTTGTATAACCACTAATATCTCCCTTTGAGGGAAGACACATTTATGCACCAGTCATGTTAAATCAAAGAATCAATATATGAAGAGTTTGCTACAATATTATCTGGGCTATTCAAACACTAATTAAAAATGTTTATGTATTGTGCCTTAAGAGAAGACACATCATGTGCTAGTCTTAAACCAAAGAATCATTTTAAGGAGAGTTTTCTAAAGTATTATCTGGGCTATTCAAACACTAATTAAAAATGTTTATGTATTGTGCCTTAAGAGAAGACACATCATGTGCTAGTCTTAAACCAAAGAATCATTTTAAGGAGAGTTTTCTAAAGTATTATCTGGGTTATTCAAACACAAATGAAAACTGTTTTCCTATTATGCCTCAAAAGTCTAAGCTACTCGTTGTATCTTATTTTCTTGTTCATAATCTATTTACATGCTATATAACTGTCGCTATTGTAGTGAAGAAATGGGGAAAATGTGGGCCTTCCTTTTCTGACTAACGGACCATTAAAATGGTGGTTGTATAGCTTGTTGCATAAGCACCATTTGGTTATGCAAGAAGCCATAAATGTGTATATAATACTTTAAAAAAAATCTTTGTCAGAGGAAAAAATACTCAGTTGGGGGAGCATTGTTCTTTTTCAGGCACTTTCTTTGGTAGATGTTGAGATATATAAAATTATATAATAATTCTTGAGTTTGATTAGATTTCTCTACTATGTTTTGTTCCCAGTATTTAACTAGAAATCCCTCTTTTGTCCCTGGAGAAGAAAGGTCCACATTTTGAAAGTGCTTGGGTTATAGGGTATTGTATCTTTGTGTTAAATTGATTGTTTGAACCTAAGTGTTTTTCTAACATCATGTTTGTTTCCAGTATTGATAGTAAAGCTGTTATATCTCTTTGAATAAAAATAAAGTATGCTTTGTTTAAAAAAATAAATAAATAAATAAATATATATATATATATAACTATAGTAAAATAAATAATATTTTTAAGTACATATGTTTTATGTCTTTTTAGGAGGTCTTACACAAGTGAGGTACATGTATTTAGTTCATGTGTATTTAAGGAAGAAATAAATTCCTGGATCTTTTTTTAAAACTAGTGACATTAGTTTGGTTCATTATTCAGAGGAAAGTGTAATGTAGTCAAAATTCAGCTTATTTTGGAGGGAAGGGATTCAAGGGCAGACTGTCGTCTTTTTTTAGCTAAATTTGTTGAGAGAAAAATTTATGAAAATGTAAATAATTCATCAAAACTGTGTTTTAGACCCCAGTTTGCCCTTCTTGATGAGTGTACTAGTGCAGTGTCTATTGATGTTGAGAGTAAGATGTATCAGGCTGCAAAGGATTTTGGAATTTCTCTATTGACCATCACTCATCGTCCATCTCTGTGGTAAGTTTAATTTTTTTTGCTGTTTTACTATAATAATTTCACCCTTATTTGAAGTTGCTTTAAAATTTTCTATTTACATTTATACATATTATAAAAGCAAACAATCCACTTTTAACATGTTACAAGCTTTATACAATAACACAATCTTATCCAGTAGAGGATACCTTGTAGCTCAAAATCAGGTACAGTGTAATATAAATTTGTTGAAAATTAGTAAAGAACTGAGTATATTCATAATTTTAACAAGTGTTTTTATATAAAGTATATGAAAGCAAATTAACAAGTAAACTGCGTGTGCCAGACCACAGATTGGAAAGACCAAAGTTTAAGCCTTAACATATGATTGTTTACACTTTACACTTTCATTAGTGAGGCATCATAACTATGATAGTTGATCTCATTATCTGGTTAAAAGTAGTCATGTACTAGGAAGTAGTTGCTGTTGATTGGCTGCCCTATCTGTGGTCAGTTGTTCTAAACTAATAATGGCTATGTATGAACCATATAAATCTAATCTGTAAATTTAGGCCATGTTTCACAAACATATACTTTACAGTACTTATGAAAAATATTAAAGTTTCACAAGTTTCAGATTAATTATTTTCTAGTGTCATCTGACTTGCATAAACCTATAGCTGTACAGGTTTCTAAATGTCATCAGTCATATAATGTGTATTTGTATGAACTTTCTATCTTTTATTTTGATTCTGAAAGTTGATGTTGAATAAGACTTAAAATTGTAAGTAAAATAGTGTTAAAATTATTGGCATACCTGTAGATCTGTAAATTAAACATTCCTAATTATGAAAGTGTTAAAACTGTGAGCATACCTGTAGATGTGTAAATTAAACATTCCCGATTATGAAAGTGTTAAAACTAAGGGCATACTTGTAGATATGTAAATGAAACATTCCCAATTATGACTAAAAATAGTATGATAGAAAAATTGTTTTACAATTGTTAATATACAAGAAGATATTAAGTTCACAGGTGAATATAAAGCTGAAACACTGTTCTCATTTTTGGATATACTGTGTTACTGAAAGTCTATATCTACTTAATTAATGAGATGAGCTGACTAAGATTCTCTGGCTTGTGCTGTGCGCTTTGATGCTCTGAGTGAATCATAAGAGTGACAGTCAAATCCCACTATTTGATTAAAGTAGCCCATGAGTTGGTGGATGGAGGTTAACTAGTTGCCATCACTCTAGTCTATCACGTTACATTAGGGAAACCTAGTGTAGATGATCATCGAGTACTTTGTGCAAAAGTCAACTTAAAAGGTTTATAAGTATATCCATCTCGGCCATTAATATTAAAAACCTATCGTGCGTGTACATGTATGTTCTTTCTTAATGATTAGAGTCCATCCAATACTTTGCTACTGGAAAATATAACTTAGACAAGTAATTGATTTGTTAAAATGGTAAAGCATTTGCTAGTGCATAAAATGCAACAACATTAGGTCTATGTGATGTATTATTTAATAACTCTAACAAATCTTTAAATTTTGTAATTATGAAAGTGTTTTTAACAAAACTATTGCCAAACTAATGATTTTTTTTTCTGGTATGGGATATTTTTGTTATTTAATGTGATCGGCTCATGTATGTGACCACCATGTTACATTCCTTGAACAATAGCTTGGAAAAAAAAATGAAATTTTCTTGTAAAACTTTCCTTCAGTATTTCACTGGTAATCTTGAGGGCTTATAGTACTAAAAGTTAGGGTTTAATCTCTACAGTGGGTGGATTGTGTAAAGTCCATTCTGCAGCATTGAGACTAAACCAGCCAAAACTTTTCAAGCCTAAAAGTAAGAAAAATACATGTAATCTAATTTCTGGTTGTTAGTTCTAAAAAAACGAATTAGCTTCAGTGAATGCATTGTTTACTGCTTGACGTGTATATGAAGTACTACCCTTGAAGGCTTGTTTTGTTTTAGTACAAAGACACTACTTATTAAAGCTACTATTCAGCATTCATGTTTTCTGTCAAAAATACCTATGTGGTAACTGAAGGGTGAGAAGTATTACAAATAGAAACAGGGCATTAACTTACAATACAGAAAGTTTACAATACAACAAATTCAGTTTTTTAATGTAGAATTTAAGTTTATGAGAATTCAGGAAACTAAAGTTAAAGCATCACTTCTATTATGCCCAATAGGCTCTCAGTTTTGTGTGTTAGGTTATGTTTATTATATGTTTAATAAAAAAAAACATGTTTAATATGAAGTTGATATGTTACTACATTGGAGCTTACCTAATATATCTTGATCACTGATTAAATAAAGCATTTTTACATTTACTGTTTTGGGAAACTAGGTTGCTTTTGTTTTTCTGTATGAAATGTTGACCTTATGATAAGTTGTGAATATATTCAGCAGATGATAGCTAACAAAGGCAACATTTGGTGAAATAACTAACATCCAAAATATAGGGAATGTTATTGTTGCATCAGTAGTTAATGTTTTCAGTTAAAATATTCAGATGTTTTTGAGTACATTGAATTATTGAACAAAAAGGTAGATATTGGATATCCTCAAGGAATTTAAAATCCTGGCAAAACATACTTTGCTAAGGAGGAATTTGCAGTTTTCTGTTACTTGCAAGGAAATTAAAAATCTGTGCCTGAAATGTCATGTTCAAAAACTTAGGGTTAAGTTGGATTATTTGTCTGAACTAAGATTTGTTAAAGTACTTAGACTAAAGATGTTTTTTAAGGTTATACCCAGAAGTAAAGGTTCCAGATGATATATGTTTATATCCATAAATGAAGTATTTAGAACTTGGTTATGAATACAACCTACCTATGTCTATTGAAACACTGGATTAAGAAAAAAAAAACAAGTAAGGAAAAACTTTAAAAAAAAAAAGGAAATAAATGTAGAGATGGCTGATATCAATCCTTCAAAAACAATGAAAACAAGATAGTAAGGATGTTACTGTGTATTTCTGCTATTATGTAGATGTGATGCAAATGCCATCCCTGCTATCTTCTTTGCATTGTTTTTGAAGGAGTGATATTAGCCGTCCCTACGTTTACTCCCTTTTTTTGTAGATAACTTGTTTTGGTCTGAAGTTAATATTAACTAGGTCAAGGGTGACTGGAAATGTGGTATTTTATATGTGTGATTGAAATTGTAATTCCTCTGTTTTACTCTCATGAATTCCATTGAATGTATATGTGAATCTTTCAAATAAAGATAATCTGTGGGTTTATAGTTTATGCACTATAAAACAAGTGTAAACTATTTTAAGTTAAATAGAACTGTATGCAAACAACTTTTATGTACGTTTCTGATTTTACCATGATTGTAACTGTACATTGTAAATATTTTGATTATTGTATTCTTTTCTTTAAATTAGATTGCTTTATATATCTTCAGACTATCAACTTGTATATATTATCCAATAATTTGTACATTCTGAAGTTGCTTGTGTCACATATATTTTTAGGCAGTTCCACACCCATCTTCTGCAGTTTGATGGAGAAGGGAATTGGCGTTTAGAGCCTCTTGACACTAATACTCGTTTGTCATTACGAGAAGAGAAAGAAAGGTTAGAAGCCCAGTTAACAGGAGTACCACAGATGGAATGCAGACTTCAGGAACTCTGTACACTTCTGGGAGAAGACTCGGTAGTTCTTCAGCGTTCCCCTGTGGATGGTAATGGTGGAATACAAGCAGTTCTCCAAGTTGATACCCCAAGTGTTAATAAAGCTGGGGTTGATACTAGTAAAGATTCTCTATCTGATTAAAAAAACTAGTAAAATGAAATAAATTAAACCAAATAGCTTTATTTAAAGATTTAAGATAGCTTCTTGTCATGCAAGATTTAAATAAGTACTCATTTTAGAAGAAAAATATTACATGTGAACTAATGTTGTTAATTTATGATGTGCTGCTGTAATCCACAATCAAAGGTTGTTTTGTTTTAGTGGTTGCATGATATGGGTTGTTAGTTAAGCAAAATGTGGCTTATTGCAGTGTGAACTTAATGTTTTTGGTTACACTCTAATTTAATATATGTATAATTTTCATTACGTATGAGTTTACTAAAGTATTAGGTTTTTTATTTTTTGTTTGGTGGCAATGATTTTCTCTTGTTCATTGATATCCAGCTACATGTAATTACCTAAAAACATCAATCTTCATTATTTTTGTGAATGCTATAATTTCATAATATGAAGTGTTGATTGGAGTAATTTAGACATTTTATATGGAGAAAAAATAACTACATACTCCTGAATAACGTTTATTTATTTCCCACCAAGTTTTGTTTTTACAACTTTTTCAGAAGGATCTTGTTACTTACACACATATACATTTAGATTTGTTATAGGACCAATGGAGAATATTGAACAAGGCTACATGGATAAAATAGTTTACATTGAAATAAAACAATGATACACAGCAGCACTAATGTTTGATCATATGAATGTAGGTATACAGCCTAAAAATGTAGTGAAAATCAATTGAATATTGACATAAAAAGTTATCTAAAATAAGATTATATAATTAAAAGAAGGAAAAATTTGAAAAGTGAAATTAACTGAGGGGGGTCTATGCTAATTTAGCCCTTCCATGTCATGATTAATTTATCTTAAATTTCAAAATATGTCTTTATATTTGCAATCAAGAAAATTATTATCTGTTGCAAGGATTTCTATTTGTAAAGGGTAACCAGATGTCAGTCAACCATGTTTCTTTTATATAGTGGTTCAATATGGCAGTATTCCCCAAAGTGGGAGCTGCAGCCCCCCTGGGGGCCATGAAGCTTTTTTTGGGGTCTGCCAAAAATGGGCTGAAAACAGAGGTGCCAAATTAATTTTAATTCTAAATAAACAATAAGCCAATAAAAATTATGTAGATTTAAGTAAATGATACAGTATGTTGAAAAGGGATGTTATTGTTTTTACTATGGCACTGTTTTTCAATCACCACACTAAAGTAGTCTGTGTGTGTGTGTGTGGGGGGGGGGGGTTAAGGCATTTTTTACATCACGGGAGCCTCAGACTAAAAGTGTTTGGGAACCACTATACTATGGCACTGACATCTTTGTTGAGTTGATTTAAGTCTCATGCATGTTTAATAAATCTGTTGTGTTATGCACAAAATGTTTCTCCAATGTAAAAGCAAACTATTTCTTTTTCTTGCAAGCATTACCTGAATTGTATGCAAAATGTATTAATATTTGTTCCTGGTTTTTGTACAATTGTTATTGGTAACCATGCCCATTGTATCATTGATTGTAAGTCTGTCACTAATGGATGGTGTATTCCAAGTTCTACAATTACGTGTGGCATCCTCCTTGCATGTAATTATGTCCCTCTTTTAATTTCCTTTGAAGATTGTTTAAATAAATCAAAGATAAAACTATCTGAGTAACCATTCAGTTTTAGCACATGTTGTAGATCTGTAAGCCCCTTGAGTTTGCTTTCATTAGAATTTAAAATTCAATTAATTTTCTTGGCCCATCCTATGATAGTTACTTTTTCATATTTAGTAGGGTGATGTGAATCTGAATGTAGAAATACCAGTCTAGATGAGAGCTTTTAGTATACACTTATTATAAGTTTGCTTTATGAATAATCAAGAAATACATCTAGGAAGCTGAGTGTTCTAGAGTAAAAAAAGGTTATATTTGTTTGTAAGCTGGTCAAATATTATGAAATCTTTCCAGTCTATGTAAAATGGAAGACCAACTGCCAAAGATATCACCTGTATACCTTAACCACAACACAAATATTTCACCTTCTTTTTAGAATCATGAAATTAGTGTATCATTTTCTAATATGTGTATGGACACTATAGCAAAATCTACTGCAACTCTGTTTTCCATAGGAAATATTTTTGTTTTTGTTGAACTTGAAATAACTGTTCATCAGAACAAAGTGAAGGCATCATTCTAAATTTCCCAGGGAAATAATGAAAAATGATTCAGGCTTTTTTGGTATTTTTCTGTGATATTCATTATTTCTGATAAACCTTCATTTATTGGTATTGATGAGTAGAGAGAGAGAGTACATTTAGACTGAAAATGAGTAAGTTTTGTTGAATTGATACCTCTTCTAACTTTGCAAAACCATTTGTACTTCTCTGTTGTGCTGGAACATAAGATAATAGTGGGTGGATTATCTTTTCACTTAACCAAGAAGGAGACTGTTGCTGACCCACAGATGGATACTATTGGTCGGAGTGACATGCCTTCCTTGTGATCTGTTGGTAAGCTAACGAACTGTGATGTACTTCTGTGGTTTGTATATGTTGCTGGTAATGCTTGAATTCCTTAAACGAAAGTTTAGTTTTCATTCCAACATCAATTTTGATTTCTTGTGAGAGGTAAGTATCACTTAAAATAGAACTGTTTACACAGGTGAAGTCTTTCATAACAACAAAACATTTTCCATTGTCTGAAGTTTTTATTAAAAGTTCTTTGTCTTGTTTAATTCTTGGAAGAGGATTATGTTGTATTATTGGTTTTTTTTTAGCTTAGCTTTTTATTCTTGTGGAAATGTTTACTAAATAGCATTTTATACAAGCAACAGAGCATTCAAGCACTTCAGAAACTTTGGGTCATTGTATTTTAGGGTTGTCAACTGCACATTTGAATTTAAATTGTATCTTACTTCCTGAAGTATAAATAAAAGGAAATGTCCCAGTAGTCTGTGCCATGTTCTGGCTGTGATTAGCATATGTATTTTCCTTTTCTTGGTATTTATAATCAATGAAGGCAGACCACCTAAGTGTGTAAATACATTTTTTGTAAACCAGACACAATCTGAAGTTATGTGTCTTCTGTTGGTTTGGTCTTTGTATGCAGAATTTTGGGCCTTTTGGTAAAATAGAAAAAGCATGTTGTGGAATTACTTCATTGTTTTCTACTACTTCATACAGTTCTTCACCATTAACACTTGGTGTTAACTTCATACAGTTCTTCATTATTAACACTAGGTGTTATCACATTAATTTTAATGTTAGTGTTATTACTTTCAAGAAAGCATTGGATTTTTTGTTCCAAATGATAGCTACACTCTTGTTTCCCCTTCTATAATGATGGTAGCTTGATTATTAATCCATGCTATTGAAACAACATCAACTTTTTCAGTTCTTGTTGACAATAGGGAATATGTGTAGTTGGATGCTTCTTAAGTTGTAAAAATGAAATATCGAGTGAAATAAATATAACTTTTTTCTGGACTTAGTGGTTGTTTTTTCATCATATACATTGTTATAATTTGTTAGTACATGAACTAATAAAGTTTTTCAAAGTAACGTTTATACTTGAATCTGTCCTTTTATAGCAGTGTTATTGGTCATGTACACATGTGAGAGAAGTCTGTGTCATTTATCTAGTTAATGAATGTTGTTTGCAACTAATTCTTTAATTAATATTATTTACATTCTAGCAATATAACAAGTACAGGTGTTTTGAAATTTATAGGAATTGCTTGTTCACTTGAGCAAATTTATTTTTACTACTTTTCTGAAATGTACTTTTCATTTTGAAGTCTTAAAATGTTAAGTGATGTCTAATATAGAAACATGACAATCAGCTACTTAAATTATTCTGTAACATTATTCAAAGACTGATGATCAATTTTTTGTAAAAGTCATATTATGGTAGAAATTATTGTGCCAAACAGTTATTACATTAATAAGACTACATTTTTCAGAAGACTTGATGCATTTTCCTGTAGAATCAATTTTTTGAACTAAGTTTTGTTTTATAGCTTTTCATGTAGCTACATATGAGTGTTGGTGTGCATAACACTTTTAGTTGAATGTCATTAGGTTTGATATCAAAAGTTTTTTCCAAAAGGTCACAAAATTTGTGTAAATTATTTGTTCTTGCAAGTTCATGAATTTAAACCTGTGTTAATTTTTTTTTCTAAGAACTGTAATAGTTCTTTAACTTCAAAAAATCAAGGTAATATTTTAATAACCTACAAATGATGTTGATGTCAATCTCTGTAAGAAGTTACACTTTTAATTGTTTGCTACCATCTACAAAATAAGGAACTCTCATACACTTAGTAGTGTATTAAATTAAATTGTGTTATGGAGGTGATTTTTGTTGTTGTAAGAAACAAAGTAGCAGTCTTAGTTTACATACCGTTACTTGATATCTTTTAAGGATAGTTTTGTCAATCTTCAGTACTCATTAATGTTTAACTTTAATGACTTGTTCATGACTAATTTTCTGGTTAATATTATTAAACAATTTAGTTGAATAAGTTAAGTAAATAGGTACACATGACATTTAATATTCCATTGTGATGTGTTTACACTCACAAGTTATTGTTATTGCTGCAATTTATTCTATCATTGGCAAGTTCTTTTGGATTATTTGGGTAAAAATAATGACAATTTCAATCCATGTAATGATAACAAATCAATTATTTTTTTCTCAATATTTGCTACATACTACTTTCACTTTGATACAAGTTGTAGGCTTAAGTGCAGAAAGCAACATTTCAACAGAAATTTCAAGACACATGGTAAATATGCCAAACTCACAAATAAACTTGCTTACAGAATTTCCTCACTAATAGATCAAATAATGAATAGATGTGATAAATCTCTCTTATAACATAAATCTCTTCTAACTTTTCTGACACTAACTCATCACTCACTGAGTACTTTACTAACTGAACCCAGTCAATGCTGATTATTCATGTTAATATGATGCTCTTATTTTTATTTACTTGAAGAAATTTCTAGATGATTACATCATTAGCTCTCTCTAGCAAACATCCAAATTAAAACATTGAAAATATAACTTACAACAATATTTTTCTGTTAGTTTTATTGTATTTCGATGTAGTTGACTGGAAAAAAAGTTAGTACTCCAAACTAAATGACCAAATAAATTAAAATTTTAAAACACAAGTTTAAATCGGATGTTTCCACAACTGTGAGCTATCATTTTCAAGCATCTGTCCTAACTGGAACAGTCAATGCTTATATGTCACTATGATACTATTTATGTTAGTTAGTTGTAAATATTTTGATTTTAATCTATGTTTCTAATGAAGTTTAAAGTTATTGTTTCAGTAGTTGTAACTATTATATAACTATTTAACCAAATTATTGATCTTTCAGACAAACTTTGTCATTAGAGCTGAATTTTGTGAAAAGTTATATGTACAATTTATATTGTGTATAAATTATTTTACTACTAAATTAGGAAAGGTTAGTGAAGTTTTTAAGGCATGATGTGCTGTTATTATTCATAAAACCAGTGTTGGAAAAATAATTGGGAAGTAAAAGGGCTGAAAACTTGGGTATTTTTTTCATATTTTAACTATAATTATATCATTCTCTTGCTAATTTTTCCTTGTATGCTTCTGTGGTATCAACATAAATATATTTTGATTGTAAGTCAGTGCAATTTGTAGCCAGTACATTACATGTATGATAGAATGAAAAATTGCATGTCTACAAAGTTGAAGGATTGAACTAGTAATAATATTGAACAAGTTAACTCATTTTTGATTTAAATGATTTTATGGTTTACAAAGTCATAAAATATAACAAAACAAATGTAAAACATCAATATTTTAAATTAGTTGTACTGTTTTATTCAGTATTATTGGATTAAGTGTTTCAAATGATACAAAGTATTAATTAACAACTTATTGTAAAAGATGTTTCTACCAATAATAAAATGTATGAAATCCATGATTCATATAAATCAAAGATGTACAGCAATGAAAAGTACTTGACATCTTTAAGCTGGTAATAAATATGAAAAATAGTTTTTCATTTAACAAATTGATCTTAAATTTCATGAAATCTTGAAACATTAAGATTTTACCAGCTATTATGTAGTACATGAGTGTAAATTTATTTACTTAGGTTGTTGTGGTAGATTAAATGATCCAATAAAACACATCAAAATGTTTTTGTTAAACATTCTGTGTATTGAGCTTCTTTTGTATATAATTTTTATGTAAAAGAAACAATGAAAACGAATAAATTTTAATAATTTGGTTTGTAGAAAAAGTCATAAATGTTAGTTTATTGAACATGCAAAATTTAATTTTTTGTTAAGGCATCATTCCTGCAACAAAGAACTCTAGATAAGACAGTTGTATCAAAAATTTAATGCTAAAAATTATTTATTTAAAATGTTATTTACATCTATAATGAGAACTTTGTTCTATAGAAATCTTTCTTGTAAATGTGAATTATAAGTGTACATCTGTTTTTTAGGAGAATTGCTCTACAGTTTAATACCTAAACCCTAGATTTTAAAAGCTAGTTTTATTATCTTTAATAATCAGGTTTTGTATGTTCAGTTGATCATTTTATGAAGCTTACTATGTATGTTCATCATATTTAAAAATATCTGAAAGTCACCCAAAAAAGTAATTGCATAGCTCTACTAATGAAAATTTTTTTAAGTGTTCCTTTTTGAAAACTAGTACTAAAAATTGCTCTTATAATTATATCAGAATTAGGCTAATACAGTTTTACAAAATGTTAATAATAGTTAGATATATATATTGGCAATGACAGGATAAATCATGGTTAATTTATAACAGACAATGAGTTATTTGCCATGTTAATTTTCGTATTATAATTTGGGGTTTATTTTAACTTTTGATTTAGTTGCTAATGGGATATTCTGAGTGATTAGTTGTTGTTGAAGTTTTTGGGATCAGCCTAGATCTTCTTAGAAAATATAAGAGGGAAGGGGAGTTATGATCATTATTTGTTAGGGTATTTATCAGAACTTCAATAAACTCTTATCTCAGTCCTATCATTTCCTGTGTCTGTCTTTCTCGCGAGATTTGGAAGTAGCCAACTATAAAATCTTCTGCCTACTCGCATATAAAATTAACCCACTGTTATTGTAAAATTTAACGAAGTTTTATATTTATGCTTAGAATGTTTATTACATAACAAAATAAACGTTTCACAAACAAGCGACTTTCAAGGTTTTCAGTTACGTATTACGTGGGTCTGGCATGGTCTGGTTGTAAGGGCCCTCGACTAGCAATCTGCGGGTTGCGGGATCGAACCCGTCGCACAACATGCTCTGTACTCCAGCAGTAGGAGCTTTGTAACGTGAATGTTAATCCCACTGTTAATTGGTAAAGAGTATCCCAAGAATTGATATTGGTTGTTGACTAGCTGTCTTCTCTTCAGTCTGTCACTTCAAAATTAGGAACGGCTAGCGCAGGTAGCCCTCGAGTAGTTTTGTGCGAAATTCAACAAACAAACAAACTGTATGACGTTTGTAACTTAACTTTCATTCAAAAACAGCCCAAAATTAGCTTAACATTTTCCACTTAAGTTAGCCCAAAAGTATAACCCAATAAATTCTGGTAATCAAATCTGCAATCCAAGATGCAATCGACAGTAAACGTTTTATGTCACCGGTTAAATTTTGTGTATTTTGTTTCATAAGAACCTTTAAAAAATGTTGCTGTCACGTTAATTAAAATCTTACACGTAAAAAACAAAACAAAACAAAAAAAACGAGTATTCACCTAAAAATAGTAAAGTAAGATCGCTTACTACACAATAAATAGGAGAATAAATGTAATGGTTTTAAAATACCGACAACAGCCATTAATATGTGTTCAGCCTCCCCAGTGGCACAGCGGTATGTCTGCGGACTTACAACGCTAGACACCGGGTTTCGATACCCGTGGTGGGCAGAGCACGGATAGTTCATTGTGTAGCTTTGTACATAAATTCAAACAAAAAAAAAATGTGTTCAAAGCAAAATATGTCGCACGCAACCAACCGATACAAGCTGGTTCTGAACTATTCACAGACCTTTTGTACTTAACTCGATTATAGGAAATGTCATCATGTTAACGAAAATTAAACTTGTTTTACAGATAAGAAGCCTGCGGATCACAAAGACGGAAAATTAATTTGTTGAAATTTTCGTACAATGAAATGTTTTTTAAACAAAATATTAAGATACAAAGATAATTTAAGAAGGTCCATTGATAAAATTAATTGAAGGAAAACTTAATCCCCAACTCTGAGGTTTCGATGTCATCGCAGAAAATGATGCTAATGTCCACTTAATTTGTTCATAGTAAATTCCAGTATAAATGAAAGCTTGAAGTCCGAATACCCAAATAATTTCTTAATGAACTATATACATTTCACAAACTGATAAGAGTATCTAAACCAAACTTTAAAATAGATCCTCATTACGGCCCTCTTTTGCGTCATTGTTCTTTGATACGTCGTAAATACTGACACTGAAAAGGGCTTTCGTCTCTTTCGGTAACTGCAACCGGTTGCAGCACAATTCAAGCTATCTCTGGGCTCTGGTTCTAAGGAGATCTTCAAGTAGGTTTTCATGCATTGTTTCTCAATTATTAAATTGGTTTCAGAAAACGTACGTTCCACAGATATGTCGCTGAACCGTAAGGCCACCAGGGAGAGAGTAAAGAAACCAAGCTCAGCGAAATCACTGTAATTTGTTTATTTGTATGGTTTGCAACTTTAAAATCGTTCAGTCTGATCAGTTTCAAAGTATGAAACACAACGCTTCATAAAAGTTACTTTTAGACCTTTAGCTTGTAAAAGATAAAGGAAATATAATAAAAAAATGTTTTGGTGAGGAATTAACTCGTTTAGATTTTTTTAATATACGAAATAACGATAAGAACTTATATCCTCAAATGTTTGATAACCAGATCTTCAATAATTGTTTTGAAATACCAACCTTTTTCATTTCCTTTTTTTTTGTACATTTCCATTTTGTTGACGTATGAGTTTTGTATTATTAAATAACACTTATCATGAATTGAACATAGTTTAGGGCACTTCTTCTATTTAACATAATTACAGAATTAATAATTTATATACACCAGAAAACGACTAGAAATGTGGCTGTTGCTGTATAATGCCAATCATGATTTGGGTTTATTTAATAAAATATGTTAAGCTCAAAATATACTGATCATTTTCCAAATCCTTAAAGAGTATATCCATCAAATGAAATTTCCAATTATTTTAATTTTATTGAATATACGTGATCACATCATAGATCAACAGATGCATGATTTACATAAGCATTATGTGATTGACGTTGTTTTATAAGTTCATTTGCTTTGTAATAACTATATATTATGACATACATCTATGTAATGTATGCAACTAACCTTCACCATAAATGTAACCTTGGATATCCAAATAAAGACATAACCAATAATTTTTGAAGTATAATCAGTGTTACTCAAACTATGACAAGTAATTTAAAAAGCCTTTACTATATCAGGACAATCACAAATACGCAGAAACAACATCAGTATACAGAGATTGAATGTGTTATATTTATAGGATTTAGTCACACCACGTAGTTACAGTCCATGTGGCCACATTCGGTTTTGCCCTATCTGACAACCATGCAGCGTAGTTTTCATTGCAAAGAGGCTTCACTATAAGGCTGTCATATTCAAAACGCTCTCCTGTTCCTTGCATGCGTTCCATAACTGTGTAATCTATTGTGTGCATGGACAGCAATTTCCCAGAGCATGTTTCAACAGTACGATCGCGGAGAGATCTATGGACATGATTGATTTTTTTGCATCAAATAACATAAATACTTGATTCATTCTCCAGCTGTTTAAGGCATGCGAAGGTTGAACGGCTTTGCCATTGAAGCAACTTGGGTACATGGGATTTTTGTCACTTTTACAGACGATCTCTTTTGATTATGTTGCGTACTGTTACCTGGGACACGTGGACGGATTTTACCACTGACCTTTGTTTTCATGAATTCTCACCTCTTACAAGACGCTACACTTTGCTTACCACGGCTGGGGTACGACTGTTTGGAGTCTCTTTTTGGGTGGTCCTTGTTTCCCAAATTCATCCACGTTCCTTTGTTTTCCAATGTCATAAAGTATAAGGGATATTCTCGTCTTGGAAATTCTAAATTCCCGATCTAAACATATATGGTCTGAGTGTATGAATAATTTGGGTCAGAAAAGGCTGTTACGCACCCTTCGAAAAATCGATCAATTTTTGGTGACATAACACTACCTACGAAACGCCAAACAATGTCAAAATGTAGTTCTAGTACATGCCGTTCCATCGCGACTTTATATCAGCTGTGGTTGTTACATGACTCACTGATTTGCTTATTCCAATTCATTTTAATATAACATGCTCAACCGTCTGTAGAGTTATCCATTCATTACTGGGTGTTATGAAATATTCCATTGAGCCAATCTTTTATTTCCTTAGAACTTATTCTCGTCTCTTCGGTAACAATATTAAATTTTCTCACAATTCTGAGTTTTTTGAAAATGTATTATCACAGTATTGTCACGGAATGGACTTCTTTCCAATGAACCAACAAATATACTAGAATTTTTTAAGTATTTAATGGAATTTAATTAAGAAGATGTACACTTAATAGATAATGTGAAACCTAAATATGTATTAATGTATTGGTTCATATTGAATTGCACTGACTCTTAGTAAAGAAGGAATTAATTAAAAACTGAACTAATTTTTAAAGAATGTCTATCTTGTTATGGGCTTAACGTAATTCCTGCAGTTTTAAATGATGTATGCGCTGTTGTACTTTTGAGTCTTATTAGAGAAAACTTGCACCATAATTTTAAACGTTACTGGACAAAAGTATAGCTCAGGTAATAGACTAGTTTCATTTTTAACAAGTAATAAAAAAGTTTTAAAATTAAGTATGATGTAGGGATGCCAATGCCAAAAAGTACAGAAACAAGGTTGGGATGAATACACAAAACCATACATCATATAAGAATCATAGAGTAATAAATAGATTGAATATGGTAGCCATTTTCTTCTCGGCCCATCTTTACATGCTAGTTTTTACATACTACATAAGTTTTTGTTTTGTTTGTTTGTAATTAAGCACAAAGCTACACAATGAGCTATCTGTGCTCTGCCCACCACGGGTATCGAAACCCGGATTCTAGCGTTGTAAGTCAGCAGACATACCTCTGTGCTACTGGGGGGGGGGGCTCTTAGTGATAAGAGCTTGGTGCAGTGTAAGGGAAACATTAAGAATTCTTTAAGTTCTGATTAAGGAATTAGCACACAGGATCACATACAAAAGTTGTAATGGTTTTCAAGGGAAGATCCAAAACTCAAGCGCTTTCGAATAGTTCACTGTTCTTCTTCAGGAGAATAAAGGGTTATGTTTAATGAGTGCAATGAAATATATAGGCACGGATGTCAACGTCACGTAAGCCAGATGTTCAATACGAGTTAGCCTTGAGAACTAGCCAATCATAACCTAGAGTTGTTGGTGTCAGGTTTAGTTTGTGTCAAAGAGGTGTGTGCAGTAAATTCAGTGATAGTTATCAGAAATGTTATCAATTTGTTTTTTAAAGATAAGATTAGAAATAAAATAACGGGAAAAGGTGATGGGAAATACAGAAAATGATAATGTGACGCAAAATATAGGAAATAATAACAATATTAAGAAATTTAATAATGTAAAGTAAGTTTAATTATGAATTTAGTTTTGGAAAAACATTTCAGAGACATACCAAGGTCAACATTTCCGGGATAGAAATTAATGCCATTTGGCGTTATAAAATCTTTAATATATTATGTTTAAATTAACATGCGGATTAAAAAAAATTCTGGTCGTTAACTTTCAATCAGATTATAAAGAAGTAAAGCAAGAATAGATTTATACACTTATGAGTAAGTGATTCACATACCTTTTGAGAAACGAATCAGATCTGCCGTAAATTAGATTCATACATATGCTAAGAACAGATTTATGCT